CGTCACAAGTTTGGGGACACAATAAAGAATGAACAACAAAAATTCTTGCATGTTCAGTGTGAGTTTATTTAGTCCGAGAGAGATTAAACATGTACAAAACTGTGATTTTTTTTTTTAACATCAGGGAAAATATTTCAAAATTTAAAAAACAAAACAAAAAAGAGTTATGGCTAGACAATACATATACAATGTGCATGCTGTTCAGGGTTTGGTTTCTGTGCTTGGCATGATTCTGAATGTGCATTACCTTAGCTCTGTATGGTGGAGAAATACTCAGCTCTGGGAAGAAGAAATCACTGCTACCTCCCCGGTTCACGTAGTCTGACATTTACCAACAATGAAACATCTAATGAGCAAACAACAGTGTAAAAAATCCAAAATCACAGAGTTAAATGATCCCTAATGGATGGAGCTGACACCTGTACATGATGACATTTATATGGCTGAGAATCACATCAGGAGCAAATGAGACACAGAACAAGGAGCTTTTCTGTTCCTGCAGCAGCAGGCAGAGAAATCTTCAATGTCCATCCAATGGAACCAGAGCCCTGATTTGTGGTGCATCATTGTCTGTGCACATTCTTGGAACTATGAGGAGGAAATGCTAATGTCCTGTTGCTGGCGGCACCATGAAAGCAATGCCAGCATGTGTGTGGCATACTGAATGATAATGACAAAGTGTACCATATCCCCCGTGAGCAAGCCTGCAGAACAATGATTACAGATTGGCCAGTGTGTCCTTAGGATCACAAGGGAGCCTGGTTCTAATGCTAATCATGCTGCTGCCCGCTGAAACATATCTGTGCTTGCAGGACATGAGGAAATAAGCTGGAATATCCAGCTTAGACTATAATTTTACCATGGCGCTGTTTATTTTTTATATTTTAACCCACAGGAATTTACAAAGGCAGGTTTAACCTATTGCACCACCTGCTGGTCTCAAGTTGGTAAATAGTGATACAAGACTATTTTTGTTCTTCAAGCAATTATCCACCATGTTGCGTTAAACATTGATGTATGAGCTTCGCTGCATTCTTCATTATTCAATTTATTTCACAAGGTCTGTTAAAAACGCCTCATCTCCTTCTTGTTAGGGGGGAACGAGCTAATCCAGCCTAAGGAGGGATTCACCTGCTGGTTCGGGTTTTACCAGTCTCCCTATGCCATTCACCTCCATCAGCTAACCTGCAACCCCTCCACGCCACCACCACAACCAACGGCCCTCTTGGAATATACTCTATTTTCATTCCAGGGAGCGAAACAAGAAGGAGAGCTGAGGCACAGCAATGCTCAGCTGCACACTCAATGTAGCTTAATGGAAGGGAGGAGAGTCTGAGTTGAGGCTGTCTCTGATTGGCTGGCCCCGAGATGTGCAGCTTCTCCGCAGCACAACCTGTCACAGTTAATCAGGACCCATCTCTTAACAGCCAGCCGGGGCTATTGAAGAGGTGAGCCTATTTCTATTCAGGACGAAACAGATGATAAATCATTTGTACATAATTAGTGCTCAGCAAGGTTATAACTGACACGTATTTTCATCTTAATTAGGAGGGAAATTTGTTCCATTAATTTAATTTGGTGCGCATGGGTGCCTCTGCACCTAACTAAGTTAATCTTACACCTGTCAGGGTGGGAATGGAGTTGGGCTTTAGATTACAGGGAAATGGGAAAGAGTGCTCTATCAGATTGTTTCATGCTGCTGTATCATGAGGTAAACTCAAACTGCAGCTGCACATCTGCTAAAAGCAGGACAAAGCCACACGCAGTCTGAGGCACTCAGCAGTAATTAGTCTTATCTAAGAAAGCCCTTTTTTTCTGTAACATTTCACAGCCATCCCACCACCCTGCAAAGGACAATAAGCTGGCATTGCATCGTCAGTGCTCGGTCTGATAGGCATACACACTTCTTCGTCCCTGAACAAATATTTAAGCAGATCTCACAAATTGGTGCTATGGAGAAAATCACATTCCATCATGGGACCCGTTTCCATTCAAAAGCCCACATCTCTGATTTACAGCCACAGGAGCTTTCAGTAAGTCCAAGGCCTGGGTCTCTTTTCATCGCTGGAAGCTGTATGAAGCTGTAGTAATTGCCCCAAAGAAGTGGCTCAATAAAGAGGGAGCTGGAGAATGACTGATTTAGTAACTATAAGGTTTCTAATCGAGTTCTTCATCGCCTCGCCGACACACAAGCTGACAACATTACCTGAACTGATGCACAGTCCATTACAGAGTGCTCCGCTTTAATCGAATGTCTATCATAAAAATACAGAGATGTCGGGTGCCAGCGCATGCACTCTCACCCATGTGTGAAGGTGTAACCAAACTGTAATGGCTTTTCTTTTAGATATACCACTGCATGGCCTTACAAATGAATATTAGCAGGGAAAGAGAGTGCGAAGAAATGAGCTTCTAACTTGTAAAAATGCTGCTATTGGACGCTCTTCTTTCAGACAGGAGAAATAAGCAAACTCACTGACTGAATGAAATGGGACCAGGCAAGTGCAGTCAGATGCCTGTGGAAGTAAATCATTCAGATGGTTGCAGTACAAATCCATCATACGATAGGATGCTACAGCTAAGCTTTCGGTGTTTGAGATTATCCTTAAAATTACAGGCGCAGAGGTCGACATCATTTTGTGTAATTGCAAAACCACTGATTTAAAATTAACTAGGTTAAAATTTGGACTTTAAATTTCTTCAGTTGTTGAGGCAGTGAAGAAACTCCAAACCTGTTACTGAGACCAAACTGTGTGATTCACACCGTGACTTAAGTTGTCTTGTATTTTAATTTTATGCTGCACGCGGCTTCATTACTTGTAGTCCACGCCTTTACTTATTCTTACATTTCATGAAGAACATCACAGTCCATCCATCCTTTTCAGGGTCGCGGGGGGCTATCCCAGCTGTGTTAGGGCGAGAGGCGAGCTACACCCTGGACAGGTCGCAGGGCTGTTTAAGAATTAATATACTTATTTTAAAAAAACAGGAAATAAGGGAGCAGCTGAAAGAACCAGGGACGAGCTGATTTTTCCTTCATGTAAAATGTCCCCATCAGTCAAATTTGAGGACATATCTGAGAGTCTGCATGATTATATTATCTAAGTATAATAAATTTAAAGTGTGAAACTGCCGATGAAGCTGATCAGTCTTCGGGCATGTTTGTGGTTTCGTTTTCCTCTCAGTGGGCTCAACATTTAACCCAAAGAATTATTTACAAGTGAGCTCAAATATACACAGGTGTCCTTCCCTGGTTCAGTGAAGAAAACTTCATTTACATCAGGTCACTTATAAATTCAGTTGGATTTTTATTGTTGTGACCATTTACTAGAATTATAATTAAAAAAAAAAAAGAAATATCCTGAGTGTGTGAAGTTTTGACTGGTACTGAAAGAGTGTGTGTGAAAATTCCCACTTTGTGTTACATTAACAAACATGAGATGAAGACAGCAGTTCAAAGACACTCCCTCCTTTGTTGATGATGACCTAACATACTGAAACTTCCTGCTGTTAACCTCGGGTGAAACATTACGATAAAGCACACAATGTGTGATTACAAACATTTTGTAGGAGCAGTGAACCCTTGTGTACAATAGATGGCAGCATTCCCACACAGACCAGGACAGCCAACTGCCCCCACAGCGCAGCCCGATCTCCTACTGCAGGGCTCAGGATCAGCTCTTTTAATTCGTCTCTCATTTGTACCTGTCATATGAAATACTAAAGCACCTGTGGGCTGTGTGCACTCTGCTTTAACAACACTTGAATTTCCCAAAGGAATAAAAGCTACACTACATTTAGACTGAATACTGTAACCATACGAGATGTCAGGATAATATTCTGTTAGTAAATACTTTAAAGAAGCGCCATAAATAGACTTTCAACATTTCTAATTCTTTTGTCGTATGCTACTTCCTTCTTCCACTGACTACATTTAAGAGGAAAAATGGATCTTTGAACTACAAACGACCCTGTAAACTCATAAGGTTTTATATAAAAGTCCAGCAGCTACAACATGGATTACATTGTTGCCTCAATACTAGTAATCTAACGATGTGTACACAGACCCCTTAACTAGGTTTACCTGCTAATACTTACTATTTATGTAGGATTTACTACGCAGCTCTTTCACTTGAGTATTTTTACAGTTGCTTTGATACTTTTACTTGAATACTTGGTGTGTTTCAATGCACAAAGCTGCAACACTCCTGTGTATGTTTAAATGAATTCTTAATGTATGAACATCTTTTGTATGTTACTACTCTAGATGTTTAAGACTGAGCTTATCTTAATAGCTTAAAGAGCAATGCGATGTGCTCATGATGTTTATAGTGACACGACACATTAACTCTTAATGTAATGTACAGCCCTATTTTCAGCCCAACTTCTAATTATCTTAAAAATCAACAAATCGAACATCTTTTCATGGGACTTAATATAATCAGAACAAAAGCTAAAGTTCACACACAAACGTAGTGGAGTCAGTACAGACCATCCGCTTCGAGTGAAGTCAGTGGAAATATAAAGTAACATAAATTGTATATGTTTCAGTATTTATTTACCTTTTTCTTGAGTACTTAAATGCGTATGATAATGATTATAATTATATTCATTTCCCTTTGGGATCAATAAAGTCATACTTACTGTATGCAGTTACATTAACTGGTGAGTATAACACACAATAACCTGGGAATATGCTGCAATATACAAAGATTTGTCTCCATTAGAGAAAAATCACAAACCACATTTCAACACATTCGAAACGTTTCACAGCCTCGTGTAAGAGAAGCAGGAAACACATGTTGGCAGCAACAATGTGCAGACTCTGAATCTGCAAACACTTCATCTCATGTGAAAAACCTTTAGAGCCCAGCCTGTGTGTTGTACCACAGGTATCGCCTTTTCCAGTAAAGATTAGACATTATAGCACACATGACATAGTGGTGATAAAAGATTGATTCAATACAAACTGGCAGGAAAAATAACAAAAAACACCAACAGTCAGTATAAGAGTGTAATTAAAAAGCACATTTTCTCCAAGAAGTTACAAAGCAGACATCTCGACATTCTGAGATATTTGTTTTCTACAGTGTGTCTCACAGTTTGGGCTCCAACTACAGGGTGAAACAGCACAAGTTCAACTCCAGTAAGAATTATTTCAGGGGTTCTCAACAAATATAACATTTAAAAGATCTCATCACCATTTGATCAGATCAGCCCCTGAAACATAAAACAAAATTATTAATGATATTTAGTCACTTCAAATATTCTGACATTACAGATCAATTCCACTGCAGCAGGGAAAGAAATGTTGTGAAGCGATGTTTTAATAATGTCCACAAAACAGCTTCTTTTAAGCTCTTAAGGTTTTCTTTTCACACTACTGCTGGTTCCTGCAGACGCTCCGTTCTTGTCCTTCACTAGCTCCTCCCGAGTCATGGGCTCGATGATGGCGCCCAGCTTGGTGACGACCTTGGGCTTGGTGACCTTTTTGACAGTGCGCTCTGTGTTCCAGGTGCGGCCAAGCGCAGAGCGGATGGTGTTCTCAAAGACTGAGGGGCTCTCAAAGGGAAAGGGCAGCGCGTTGACCTGGTGGAGCCTGATGGAGCTGCTCCTCTTCTCAGAGATAATGACACCTGGTAGATGCTGGTCTTTCCTGGGTGTGGGTGGGGTCATCTTTCTCCTGAACTTCCTGCGTTTTCTGCATGATGGCTGCAGTCCTCCCCCTCCCCACTCACCCCACCCAGGTAGTGTCAGGTCTACTGCTTTAGGCTTCCCTGCATCCTCTTGCTTCCTCTTTTCCTTCAGAAAGTCAGAGATGATGTCATCTCCAGCGAAGGCCTCTTTAATGAGCCCCCTCTGGTCCAGCTTTTCCTCCGAGTCCTCTGCATCCTCGATGGTGGGAGCAAAGGGAACCTGCAGGACCTGTGCGCCCTTGGTGAGAACTTGTTTCAGCTCAATCCCTTTCCTCCTCTTCCTGCTTTTGCCCGTCTTTTGTGTGTTTTCTGTGGCTGGAGGATGCTGCGGAACAACAGGTCCTTTATCTGTGGCTTCCTCCTCCTCTGCCTCCTTGCCCTGTGTGAGAAGCTCTTCATCCTCTTGACACCTGATTTTGAGCTCCTTTTCCAGCTCAGCTGCTGTGTCAGCCTCTCCACAGCCCTCTGCTAATCCTTTGAAAAGGCTTGTGAACTCTGAAAGCTCTTCTTCCTCTTTGTCAGAAGCATCTTTGTTTTCCTCCTCCTCCTCTTCCTCCTCCATAAGCATTACAGGTGCGTCAGCTTCCTGAGCTTGACGCCGTTTCCTCCTGTTATCAAATTCTCTGAGTAGCACCTCTTCTTCTGTCTCCTCCACCTCCTCTTCCTCAGCTACATTTTCCTCAGCTCTAATAGTCACAGCATTACTTGTCTCCTTCTCCACACAGTCTTGAGAGAGCTTTCCAGTCATCCAAGGATTTGAAAAATCCAGTCCTTGCTCTGCATCATTCACAAAGTCAGGCACCACGTCTGCGTTACCTTCTTCCTCCATTGTCTCCTCCTCTTCCTTGTTCAGTGAGGTCACCAACTTCTGGGTCAGGTCTTTGTTCACTTCCAGCTGCTGCTGAATAGCTTTGCGGGCACCTTCATCATATTTTGCCATGATGGCCTTGGACCTGGCCCACTTACTGCTGTTCTGGTGCTTCAGTGACATCCTCTCCTGCATCCTCGCCATCTCCATCTTATTGAGCTCCTCCAGCGCAGCAGCCGGGTCTCTCTTCACCATCTCATCAAACTGCTTCTGGAAATCCTTGGATTTGGCCTTGTTCAGCACTTTGTGGTATTTCTTGCTCTTGATCTTCCTTTGCCTCCTCGCCTTGGCCTCGTAGTAGGACTGAAGAGCCCGGGCCTTCTGCAGCTCTGCACGACGTACCTTAGCTTCCTCCAGGCTCATCGCTTTCATGGAGGCCTCCTCAGTGGGAGTAAGAATGGGGTCGTTAATAGGCTGCTTGTTGGCAGACAGGAGAGTGAAGACTTCTTGCTCAAGCGGAGTCTGAGCCTTCCAGTCCATCACCACCCTCTCAATGGGCTTGGGGCCTGAATGCTCCTGATTGAGAGGGAAGACCAGCTGCTCAGCCCTCTCATTCTGTCTGATGACACTCTTCCAGTGGCTCACCTCTTTGGAAACCTTCTGAAAAGCCAAATCTCTCCTTATCCTCTCGCTCTCCTGCTTGCTTAGCGGGCACTCTATGGTCTTTCTGCTTTGCTCCAAATTCTTCAGCCGCTTCTTGCTCTTGCCTGAGAGTCCAGGAGTTGTCTTCATGGACCCTATCAAGTCCGACAAATCGACTTTGTCGCCCTCGCCCTCTGCGTTGACCGTAAATTCGGACATATGCACGGCCGCCTCGGACCTCTCCCCCAGAGTTTTCTTCCTCTTACCACTGAGAGTGCCGATAGCCTCCAGCAACTTTTGGCGTTTTCGTTCATCGTACCCGTCTTCGTCCTCAACAGTAACATCATCATCAGTCGCATCCTCCTCCTTTTCGTCGTCGTAAATCACGTCTGGATGCCCCTCGTTGCTCTGCTCCGCACCTCCGGAGCGTGTTTTCTTTTTACTCGCTTTCTTTTTCGAAACTTTAGCCATGCTGAAGCAACAACTGCCGGAGCTCAATGCACTAAACTGGGACGACTGCGTGCCCCACGTGTGCCGTAAAACAACCCGTTGTCGTGAAACTTGCGACAGTGTTGTTCACTGTCGCAAAATATGCTGGGGTTTGTTTTTTGGGGGGGTCCCACTTCACACTGTACATTATCATTTTATCAATAATATCATCTTAAATAACGAGATGAAAATGTTCCTGTCGATGATGCGGAGACATGTTTAAGAATTCATAATTATTCTATGAACGTTACGTAATAAACACTAACCAGCTTCAGAGTGTATACTAAATGTTTGACCCACATTTGATAATACTCTTGTGTTTTTATTCTTTTATTAGCCATGGCTCCTTCTTGGTCGAAAGCATCTTCTAATACAGTTATCATTTCTCTTTGTACCTTGTGGTTGTGAAAATATAATAGTTTGGACATACTGTCACATTATCAAACAATAAGCTCCTGAAGAATCTTTTTGTTGTTGTTGCAAAGCTGATTATCTGTTCATCCAGAGGCACCTTTATGTCCGTTTGCTGTTTCAGGTCAGTGCTGTGTCCCCATCTGCTGCTCACACTCAGAACCACTCGGTCGTTGTTATACAACATACATTCCGTTGGACACACTTGGAAACGCTGCGTTTAACATTTCCTGTCATATGCTACGGTCACGTGACTGTCATCAACAGTGCAGTTAAACATGGCGGTGGCTACGTCTGTTTTCCACAGAGTAAGAACCGGGTCGAAAATAGGCGCTCAGTATGACCAAGACGGCAACCTCATCCAGGTACAAAGTAGCTGCATCAGATTTCAACACTGCTGTGATGATGGGCTTGAGCTGTCACACTGCGGACGCATATCGATACAAGCTAACACTGAAGCTAACGGTGAAGCTAGTTTGTTAATGTTGAATTAATAACGTTTTGATGCATGCTAAACCATCCACGCAAGTAAATCCCAAAAAGTTTTTTCTGTTGATTAATGAGCAAGAAACTGACCTCACAGCTGTTCCTTCAGTGGGCTGGTTTCAGTCACTGTGCGAAAGTACTGTTTATAAGACCGAGGAAACCTGCAGTCAGCTGAGACCGAAGAAGTCACCTGGACGGGTGACGAAACGTTTGTCCCAGTGAAAACGCTACGTCCAGACGAACAGAATCAACCTTCTGGGATTGAGTTAATAACGTTTAAAATCGTGCTAGTAGTAATTTTAGTAACAAAAAACGGAAGAGTAAATGTGAAGGTCTGAGAGCAGACGGATTAGGACCTCAGCCATGTGTGAGCTATGAAGTGTTTCTGGCCTGCAGGTGGAAACCCGGGAGGATGAAGAGCAGAGCGTGAAGCTGACAGAGATCCTGGAGCTCCTGCTGGCAGCTGGATACTTCCGAGCCCGGATTAAAGGATTGTCACCGTTTGATAAGGTATACGCTGGACTTCTGATTGCTCTTTTCTTCCTCTCTGCTCGTCTTCCATCCCAACTGGTTTTAGCAGATTAATACAACTTGTTCCTGCTGAAGGTGGAAACAAAAAAATGTTTCACTAATTGAGCTAAACACACATCCGAGTACAAGCTGACTATAAAGGCAGTGAGGAGGTGATGTGTGACCAAAAAGTAAACAAACTTCTCCACCAAGCACTTGCTGGCTACACGGACTGGTACTGATGTAGCATCATTCTACTCAGCTGAGCATTCAAAGTGCCTCCTGACAGCTGTCATTCACCCAGTCGGTTTATCTGAGCACTCTCTGACATTGACACCCCCCCCCTATCTTGGTTAAAGACACTTTAGCATGTGGGCTGCAGGCTTGATCAGCTCTACCACCACAGCTGGCTCCATGTGATATATGAAAGGAAGAGTAATCTGTGGGTAATAATCACTGGTGCATTGACCTGGTGGTAAAGAATGACTCTAAGCAGCCTGTTGAAAACCTTGACCCAAGATACAACCTCCCATGTAGAAAATATTTTTGTAAAATGTATTAAATTAATTTTCACCTCAGAATTCTACACGCCATATCCCATAACGACAAAGTAAATAAAGTTTTCTTGAAATTCTTGCAAATGTAATCAGAATCAGAATCAGAATCAGAATACTTTATTGATCCCAGGGGGAAATTATTTTTTGTTACAGTGCTCCATTTTAAACCAACATTAAGACAAGACAGACAATACGCTAACTAAGAATAGTACAATATATACATATATATACATATACATACATACATACATACATACATACATACATACATACATACATAAGTCACTTATAAATAAATATTTGGAAAAGAAACATGTGTAGTTGTAGCAGCAAACAGTGTGTTAAGTGGATGCGTTGTACAGGGAGCCACAGGCAGGAATGATTTCCTGTGTCGTTCAGTGGTGCTTTTCGGTAATCTCAGTCTCTCACTGAACGAGCTCCTGTGACTGACCAACATGTCATGGAGTGGGTGGGAGGTGTTATCCAACATTGTCTTTATCTTGGACAGCATCCGCCTCTCCGACACCACCTTGAGGGAGTCCAGCTCCATCCCCACAACATTGCTGGCCTTACGGATCAGTTTATTAAGTCTGTTGGCATCTGCGACCCTCAGCCTGCTCCCCCAGCATGCAACAGCATAGAGGATCGCACTGGCCACCACAGACTCATAGAAAATCCTCAGCATTTTCTGGCAGATGTTGAAGGACCTCAGTCGCCTCAAAAAATAGAGACGACTCTGGCCCTTCCTGTAAAGTGCTGTGGTGTTTTTAGCCCAGTCCAGTTTATTGTCAATGTGTACTCCAAGGTATTTATAGTCCTCCACAATGTCAACACTGACCCCCTGGATTGAAACAGGGGTCAAGTGTTTCCTGGTCTTCCTGAAGTCCACGATCAGTTCCTTGGTCTTTGCCACGTTGAGCTGCAGATGATTCTGCTCACACCACGTGACAAAGGAGTCGACCACAGCCCGGTACTCTGTCTCATCATCCCTGCTGATGCATCCAACCACCGCAGAGTCATCAGAAAACTTCTGAAGATGGCAGGTCTCTGTGCAGTGGCTGAAGTCTGTGGTGTAGAGGGTGAAGAGGAAGGGGGAGAGGACAGTCCCCTGTGGTGCCCCTGTGTTGCTAATCACCTTGTCAGACACACACTGTGGGAGACGTACATATTGTGGTCTTCCTGTCAGGTAATCAACAATCCAGGACACCAGAGAAGCATCCACCTGCATCGCTGCTAACTTATCACCCAGGAGGGTCGGCCTGATGGTGTTGAAAGCACTGGAAAAGTCAAAAAACATGACCCTCACAGTGCTCGCCGGCTGGTCCAGATGGGTGTAGACACGATTGAGCAGGTAGATGATGGCGTCCTCTGTTCCGAGACGAGGCTGATAAGCGAACTGAAGGGGATCCAGATGTGGTCTTACTATGGGTCGCAGCTGGTCCAGGATGAGCCTTTCCAGGGTCTTCATGATGTGGGAGGTCAGTGCCACGGGCCTGTAATCCTGGGGGCCACTGGGACGAGGCATGATGTCTTCCACATCACCGGGACCCTCTGCAGACTCAGACTCAGCATAAACAGTTTATGAAAGACTCCACACAGCTGGGGGGCACAGGTCTTGAGGACGAGGGGACTCACTCCGTCTGGTCCAGCAGACTTGCCTGAGTGAAGTCTCCTCATTTGCATCTCAACCTGGTATTGAGTGAAGGTGATGGGTGGGGGAGGGGTGTCAGGACTCTCACAGGAGGCAACATGTGAAGAGAGAGGCTGGCACAGTGGTGTGGCTCTGGATTCCAGGCTGACTGCAGGTGAGGTTGTGGGGGTGGGAGCAGACACTGTGGTGTCGAATCTATTGAAAAACAGATTCAACTCGTCGGCTCTATTCTCACCTCCCTCAGCTCCCCTGCTGTTGGTTGGCCTGAATCCAGTGATGGTCTTCATGCCCCTCCACACCTCTCTCATGCTGTTCTGCTGGAGTTTCCACTCCAGCTTCCTCCTGTAATTGTCCTTAGCCTCTCTGATCTTGTCCTTTAGTAACACCTGGACCTTCCTCACCTCCTCTTTGTTGCCCCCTCTGAAAGCCCTCTTCTTGTTGTTGAGGAGGGCTTTGATGTCCTTAGTCACCCACGGCTTGTTATTTGGGTAACAATGAACAGTCTGAGCTGGAACAATGGAGTCGGTGCAGAAAGTTATGTAGTCTGTGATACACTCATTAAAGATAAATGAATAAATGACATGTAGATTATTATTTACAACTTTACCTTTGGAGAATTTAGATGACAGTCCATGATTTGGAAATTCACACACCTGTCTATATAAGGTCCCATAGTTGACAGTAGATGTCAGAGCACAAACCAATTTGAGCAGCATTCCACCAATCACACCTGTAGAGTGGCCAGGCACACGACAGCCCACCTGGTGTTTGCCAAAACACACCTCGCAGACCATGAGAAACAAAATGATCTGGTCTGATGAATCAAAGATTGAACTCTTTGGCCTGAATGCCAATCGTCATGCCAGATGGAAAACCTTATCACTTGGCCTGTATAGTCACAGGTCACCCACAAATCTGAAGGTTGGTAGTTCGATCCCTGTCTGCTCCAGTCTGCATGCCAAATATCTTTAGGCAATAAACTAACCTCAAATTGCTCTGTGATGTCAAGAGTATGAATGTGTGTGAATGTTAGTTAGAAGCACGTATGTAGGAGAAGCATAGAAAAAAGTTCTGCTGTGAGTGAAGTTGCATAAAGCACTTGGAGTGCTCAGAGTAGAAAAGTGCTGTAGAAGAAGCCGTTCTTTTACAGTGAAATGTGTAATGCAGCATCACGCTGTGGGGAACTAGTTATCTTTCTAAGGGTATCTCCCTTAGAGCTACGGTGAGGAGAGGGGCTCATAGTTGAGCTGCTATGCTGCCCCTCGACACTGAGAGGAGCCAGTTGAGGTGGTTCGCGTATCTGACAAGGATGCCTCCTGGGTGAGATGTTCTGGGCTTGTCCTATCAGCAGCAGGCCTCGGTGTGCACCAAAGACATGCTGGAGAGATGATATTTCTTGGCTGGCCTGAAATGCAGCAGTGTTTCTGACTGGGCAGAGGGAGGTCTGGGGTTGCCTGCTTAGGCTACTGCCCCTGCAACCTGGCAACTGATGACTGGCACTTATATGAACACAGAAACATCAAGTCAGCAGAGATATGAATCATTCCTTTATGTCAGAACTGTTGGAGTAAAATCTGAATAAAAACATACTCCAGATATTTGAAAACTGTGTTTAGCATTAATCCCATCCTGTACTTGTTTAGATATTTGCTTAACAAGTTTAGGATCCCTGGTTGATTTCCGAGAGGAGAAACAAATCCCTTTGGGTTTGCAGCAAGGGCATCTGCTGAGCGACCTACTGTGGTGACGCCTTGTGAATGAAGGTCTCAGTAAAGCCATCATGTTTGATGATATCACCGGCAGCGGGAAAGCCACTTCTATTTATGTTCAGCATTTAGGTGTAGGTAGGCACTGCAGTATTCTCCTGAATGATGGGTGTCGCCATTCAGACAATACCAGCACATCAGCACTGATACAGGAAGAGAAGTCGAGTTGGAAGCAGAGAAACTACAGGTTTCTTTGGTTTGTTTTAGGGTTTTTCTCTCTGTTGGATTAGCTAGACCACCTCTACCGTGAACTGAAGTATTTATTGTTATTGTGCATTTAACTGAGAAAACCTCAGCTCACAGTTCTCCTCTACAGGTGGTTGGGGGTATGACCTGGTGCATCACCACCTGTAATTTTGACATAGACGTGGATCTTCTTTTCCAAGAAAACTCAACTATTGGGCAAAAAATGTGAGTGTTGGCTGATTTCTTTCCAAGTTTCTCTAGACTGGTCCAGATAAATCAATTTAAAGTGACACATCATACGAGCCACATTTGAATCCAGTTAAAAATGAATGATTTTGCTAACTTAGGAGCAGCTCAGATGGATAATGTCATCAGATATTTGGTTACATTTTTCCTTCCTTTTAAGTGTTTTTCTTTGTCTGGGTTTTGCAGTTTCACACTGGTTTCTTTCTAACAGTGGCAAGGGCTGTTTCGTTGCAGATCCTTGACAGAGAAAATTGTTTCTGTTTTACCAAAGATGAAGTGTCCTCATCGCCTGGAACCCCATCAGATCCAAGGGTTGGATTTTATCCACATTTTCCCGGTCATACAGGTACACGGAGAATTCAGCCAAACTAATCTCAGATGCATTAATGTGCTTAATGCATCTGAGGAAAGTGCTAATGAAAAGGTTAAGTGGTCTACTTAAAGTGTGCAGTGTTTCCCCTAGGCGGACCCTCACACACCCACATGCAGTGCTGACGTTTTCCTGTCATCACAGTTTCAGGGTTTCATACTTTACAGAATTCAAAACGCTGACATGATGTTTGTGATTTGTCTTTAAAGAACGTATTCATAGCCGCCTGGAAGCGTGTGAGTAACATTAGTATTAGCTAATGAGCTTTGACTGCTGCTGGCATCAGATCCAGTACAGCTAGCAGGTCCAGCTGGAGCATGGACATGGTCAGTCTGTATCTGCTGGTTCGTCCTTGTGTTTGATGAGCTGTGTGTTGTTTTATGCCAGTGGCTGGTGAAGCGAGCCATAGAGACGCGGGAAGAGATGGGAGATTATGTGAGAGCCTACTCCATTTCTCAGTTCCAGAAGTCCCACAGCCTTCCAGAGGTAACAGACATTCAGCATGAAGACCAGGACGTAGCTTTACTGGACACATCTTTGTATACAAAGTTCATAAAATCACTTAAAGAATTTAGTTGTTAATGACCTCTGCTCAGTGCCATTATCCCCATACCGTACACACAGGCAACAGGTCTTACTACCGTCCCGTCAACCGTGCCATTGGCTCTTGCCGCCATCCTTCTCGCTCTCTTCTCCACCCTGCTTGCAGTCTCTTCGTCTCTCCTGTGCAGCTTCCATTTCTTTGGGTGGTCAAGTCCAGGTTTTTAATTCTAATGAGTATTTAGACATCTGCTTCATGCCTGTCTCCTTCACACACACATTCTCTCTTGTTTCTGCTCTCCAAAGCAAACCTCCCCCTTTCTACTCTTTCTCTCACCTGCTTCCTCTTTCTTGGGCTTATTCTCGTATTCAACAAACAAAAAATAATAAATGGCAGGTAGGCGTAACACTACAAAAGATTTTCCAGAGAAGCCCACCTGGAGTTCCTCTGGTTAATTACATCTTGACCTACGTTCAAGTGTGATTGTTTTAACTGGACTGAGTTTATGAAAACAGAAAGTAGTCATGATATATATGAAATACAAAGTCAGACAGAAAAATAAGGCAATAAAATATTGAGTAATCAAGATAAGAAGGAAGATCTATGGGCTTGTAGTGATGATTGTACACACTCTAACTGAAAGTAATGAGACACAAAGGCATTAACATGGTAAACATCACAAGAAGGCAAGAAAGTAACGTTGGGACTTCGTGTCTCATTGTAGGAATGGGGTTCAGTGTCAGAAGTCTAACACGTTATTCAAGTTTTAATGAGCGCTGTATCACAACCCTCGCAGTCATAGAAACGTGTTTAGTGTTGGTCGGCCACATGTCATTAAACGTCCTGTGTGTAAGAGGTGCTGTTCACTGTACTGTGACAGGATAAAGAGTTCGTCCAGAGGAAAGACAAAGCAGTGAGGGCAGTGCTGGACGTGTTGGTGAGTGACGACACCGATACAAACGATACACTAAAATGAAATGCACCTGCTTAATCAGCAAAGTCAAATCGTAGGTCTGTTGTTTAGATAACTGCCGGGCTTTTTTGAATGAGCCTCGTTCTTTTCTAGGAAGTGTACAAACCACAGAGGAAGTACAGGAGGCACAGGAATGCAGAGGAGCTGCTGGATGAGGAGTCCAGGGTCCACTCCACTCTGTTGGAATATGGAAGGTGAGCTTTCACATCCGGGATGTGCATCACTTTCCCTGTTAATCCATCTTTTGCCAAAGCGGCTGTAAGACGTCTGTCTCATTTATTTGTATTTCCGTGTAAATAGAAAGCGCTGAGTTATGTCAGATCTCTCTGTCATTTCTCTTTGGAGCCATTTGTAGATCAACATTTATTCTTATAAGGCTGTTGGTGCCCTCGTTTTGTTGTTGCTTTTCTCTCTGCTGGGCTTTGTTCATATTTTCCGATGTTTATAGACCAAGCAGGATAGTAATAATAGGACTAAAATGTGCACTGGCTGCTCGCTTTATTGGACATATCTGTTAAACTGTTCTTTTTAAGTAAACACCACCCAATTACAACTTGAATGCATCTAAAACTGACCCAATCTCAGCAAAGGGCTTTTGCATCTCGCCTTCTGTTTATCTAAGAGCAGCGATGGAAAACTGATGGTACATCATCTCCTACGAGGCTGAGGGGCAGGACTGGCAGCCACCGATGTTTTTACATTTCATATGAAAGTTTCAGATGAGCTCAGCCATCTACCTGCTTAAATGTTGTGTTAGAAAGCAGCAGAAGAAAGGCAAGAGAACTACAATGTCTTATTTTAGAAGGATTGATTGTGATGAGGTTAAAAGTCACAAATCTGCAGAAGTTACATAATGTAAACATTCTTACACCGTTCAGTCTGTACCACGTAGATTTCAGGTAGCGCTCCACCAAGGTGCACCTAATAAGGTGGTCAGTAAATGCATAGGAATACAGAGGTTTTATGGCTGGATCAGTCGTTGGGCTGTTCCTTCTCTGGGCGCCACAAATTGACCTTCTGTGTCTAATTCCTCTCAGTGTGTCAGCGTAGATCTTAGTTTATAGGAAACGAGTCAAGAATTAAAAACCTGAGATTTAAACTTAGACAATGTTCAGTGTGTCATCTGATATATTGTTTTGTTTTTTTCATTCATCCATCCCTGTACTAGCCTCTGTACTAGAATGTCAGAGCTCTTGCTGTAAGTACTGTATAACTGTGTGAAGCTGGGGGGGGGGCAGCATCTGCTTACAGCACCCTGTGTTGTGGTTCAACATGTTTGTCAGAGAATGCAAACAGTGCACACTTATTTTGGCATGATGGACTGTGGTGCTGCTTCACTGCACTCCTGCATTTTATTTTATGTTTTTTAGTTAAACAGACACTGCAGATCGAGGAACCATGTAGTTTGTCCACCTGATGGATTCATGCGCTTTCTTGTGCTGATACTTTTTTATCGCATGATGTAAATGAATTTTGGGGGTTTGGGGTAAAAAGAAGAGTAAACTTTATTCCAATCTGAAGTCATATCTCATACTCGTTGTTTGTTTTGTTTTTTCCAGGCGATATGGATTCAGCAAGCAGAGCAAACAAGACAAGGTAGGCGCCTCAAGGCCTGGACTGTAGCTGCTTCCACTGTGGGTAGAGCTGCAGGGAGGTTCGGCTGCTCTCTGGTCAGCAAGGATTTTGCTCCGTTCTTCATCTTCTCTTCTTTTTGCCCCTTTTCAGGTCGATGAGGGGAAGGTTTCACTGGCCGGTGGCTCTCAGGCAGCATCTCATGGGGTGGTTGACGTGTCAGAGGAAGAGGACCTGCAGGCAGTAGAGGAAGTGAGAACTTTATTTACTGAGCATTTTATACAGAAAGACAAATTAGGCACACGTTTACAGTAGAGGGCAAAAAATGATCCGCTAAGCCTTTCAGTTTAAACATTTAATTCACTTCAGTTTTATTTATGTGGCACAAAATCACAACAGTAAGTCACCTGAAGGTGCTTTATACTGTAAGAAAAAGACCCAAGGAAGTACTAGGCAACAGTGCCACAACTCAGAGTAAATACAGACTTAAAGTTCAGCTGTACACATTTGAACCACAATCAGCTCCCACAGAAACTCACAGAGATTCACAGTGAATCATAACTTTTGTGTACTGTCAGGACTGTTAACAGTGAGCCAAGTTTAGTTTTAGCTGGAATGAAAAGCAGCTTGATAAGACAGTAACTGAGCTCGTCTACTGTTATTTGGGTTGAACTTTTGTCTCCTGTCTCGTGCTCTTGTTCTTGATTTTCCTGTTGTTCCTGGGCCTTAAAATAATGCTGTTTGGTGTGGGCTTTGCCATTTTAGAAGTACAACAAAAATCTATAGCTCACTAATGAATAGGAAAAACTCAAAGCCAGCGTGTGGAAGCTCTCAGGTTGTTGTGATCTGTGTCATCGGTCTGTTAAAAAGCCTGGAATAATAAAATAAGACCATATTGTGTTCAACAAATAAATGACATTTATTTTCTTCCTAGATGCGAATTAAAACGTTGATGACCAACATGGCTGCCATGGCAACAGAGGAGGTATGTAAATAAAACACACGGCACAGAGAAGCAGAACATTTCTGCATCCGGACAACCCAAACATATAAATGTATGTAAAGGAGCCAAATAGTGGCTGTTCTGATATTCAGCTGTCACTGAATAATCTTGTTGATTGCATGGAGTTTTCTTTGATTCCTGTTGCCTTTCCTCACCGCTGCACTGTGGTAGTGACTGAGCCTGTGTTTTCAGGGGAAGCTGACAGCAAGTGCAGTGGGTCAGCTCGTCGGGCTGCAGTCTGAAGAGATCAAACAGTTTGCTTCTGAGTACGCCGAGAAGGTAAGCAGCTCTACACTGTCTGGTCCAAGTTTAGACTGCAGTTGCTGTGTTAGTCAAAGAGAGGGTGATCTTATAGTACAGTTCTGTCCTAAACACCAGCTGTATATAAGATGCTGCTGTGTGTTGGCAGCTTTTTAAAGTGTTCATTCGGACTTTCTTCTTAATCAAACGCAGTGAAAAAAATCACCAGTTAGCATGAATCTAAACCAGAATGTCACCTAATGGTAGACATCTTCATCTTTCTAAGAGCATTGCTTTGCTGACTGTTGTGTCCTCCTTGTGTCCCTGCAGCAGTTAGAGCTGTCCTCAGAGGAGCATGAGCATTATGGCCCACTGCAGCAGCACCACAGGGTGGTCGCCTCGCTCAACAAACAGATCCAGCAGAAGACTAAAGAGCTGGGGGAGGTGTGTAGGTCACTGTGGTTTAATGAATGTGCCGTCCTCAACTGTGTCTCGGTAACTGTGAAGCAAACTTTTGATCCTAATGTAGCAAAAGCATGAAGTGATTTGGTTGTGGCAGTCGTAATAGTGTCAGAGCTTTGACTGTATCTGTTTTGTGGCCACAGCTGCAAGCCAAGCATGCAGAGGTGAAGATGGGCTGTGATGAGGACAAGAGGAAACTAACGGAGGTGAGCTCAGGTCAAGGCTTACTTCACTGCCCAGTATGGATCTGATCCACTGGTTTACCTCCAACCATGGTACAAATGCAAGTGCAGCCTCTTAATGATAGAAAAACACCTGGTCCTTCAAATGAACAACAACACCTGATATATTACACTGTGATTGTTTAACACACACACACACACACACACACACACACACACACACACACACACACACACACACACACACACACACACACACACACACACACACACACAGTGTTTCAGAAAATGAGCTGGGACACAAAATCACCTTTGCATTTAAGAAGTGACCTATTTTGTTGTCACCACAGGACAGGGAATCAGAAATGTTAGAGGTCAAGTTTTCTGAAAGTCTTGCAAATGCGATGACTTGAGAACAAGGCGACGTAGGATTTTGATGGCACTGGTGTATGGGTGTACTGGTACCAGCTGCTGCTGCCAGTATTTATGGAGTTTGTCTGAGCTGGGTCCACTTCTGGGAATCTTTTTTTTTTTTTGTAATAATAACACCATAACACTTTCCACTGAGGAGCAGCATTTTTGCTTTTTTAAGACCGTTGGTCTACATTCGATTAACAGCACCTGGATATTGGTACCAATGCCTGGGCCACACGTTTGCCTGACCTCTTTGGTCCATCTGAAGCTCTGGTCCAGATCTGGGAGGAGACTCCCTGGGATGCCATCCATCATCTCATCCTCTCATCATCAGGATGCGCCTTCTCTTCCACATGCATGTACATGTAGAGTTGTTCACATTGAAATAGAATTAGTCAAAACTGTTTGGCAAAGAACTGAGCTAAAACGTTCAGTGAAATGTCCAGTGTAATATGTTTTACATTTCAGGGAGCTATCAGCCATTCAGATGCTTTGATCAGTAGCTTTAATTTGCAGGCTACAAAGGTGTCAGAGACTTTGGGGAAAGAGTTGGTGTGTTTGGAAGAAGTGGAGGAGCAGGCTGACAGGAGGTGAGTCAACAAAAACGGTCCTTCTGTTATCTGCTAACGTTTTATTCTCAAGAACTGCGAACTCAAAATATTCACACACATGTGCGTTGAAATGTTTTCTAATCTAAATCTTGAATATACATTTTTTATACACTTTTTTTTAACAATACATCAACCAGTTCCCCACCTAGTATATATTCTTGTTGGAGTAAAATTGAATGTACTGGTAGTTACACAGCACCTTTGTAATGTGGACACTGTCTGCTCCACATTAGAATAAAAAATAAAGGTAAAATGTGCTGTCAAACATAGATGGGCACCTACTGATGGGCTTGTTGCCATAATATACCATTTTATGTTGTAACTTTACTGCACTCTGTGTGGTTTGATGACAGCATTTTGTGGGTTATTTTGTAAGTGATTTATTGCCAGCAACAGATTATCTGAGAGCTGCTAATTATGGATTTCATTTTCTGCCCAGAAAGAGCGTTCAATACATATTATCTTTAGAAGACTGCATTTCCCAGAATCCCTTTCAGTAGAGATGGGAGGTACTCCTGTTTGGCTAGGGAAGGAAAAGTTCTGCAGGAAGCCAGCATGTATGTTGCTCTGATGTTGGTCAGTTTTTGTTGTACGGCCCTTTTTTGAAGGCGATTGTTTCTGTAACTGATGTTTGATCCATTTTCTTGGCTAAGTGGATTTGCCACATTTTGTATTGACAAACATAGTGTGTGATTGCTGTACTAAAATGGGCTCGACCCTTTAATCTGCAGAGCTGGTTTGAGCAGCTTCTTGTAGATCTCTACAGTGGTGTTGACAAAGTCTTTGCCCCCTTCCTGTGGTTTGGGGGGGGGTTCGGCCCGCTCGTCTTTGAATTGTTGTAATTCTGCCACATGCGAGGGTTTTGGAGCATGAACCGAAAGTGCAGCACCCGATTGAATCCTGACGATGAATAAATAAACACTTTAATAACACTATTTGTAAAAAAATCTATTGCGTAGATGGCTTACCAGCAGTTTTACTAATAATGCATGGATTGCACCGTTTTAAAATGCAGTAAATTGCCTGCTGTGAACCTCCTGTATTTTATTTTTTGGACTCTCCTTTCACGCTCTGCACTCTGATAAATCCAGGAAAAACTGACAGAAAGTATTTACTGAAAAATAATATAAAAAAACAATCATTTTTTCCTATTCCGTTTTTGCTATTCTGTTTTTATTGCCACACTTCGTTTGCATTGAAACTATCATCAAGGTTCTAAAATCAACTAACGATCGAAGAACCTTCAACGAACACGCCGTCAGCTCAGCCCAATGTCGTTTGTTTGGGTTTTTTTATTTATTTATTTATTTTTAAAACAAACAAGTAAAAGATGAATCACCTCTATCACAAAATGGTAAATGGCCTGCATTTGTATAGCGCTTTTCTAGTCCATAGGACCCCAAAGCGCTTTACACTACATTCAGTCATTCACCCATTCACACACACATTCACACACTGGCGATGGCAAGCTACATTGTAGCCACAGCTACCCTGGGGCGCACTGACAGAGGCGAGGCTGCCGGACACAGGCGCCACCGGGCCCTCTGACCACCACCAAAATGATGTCTAATATCATTATAGCAGCACATGCTATGATATATGAAGACGTCTCCTCAGTGTTGAAAGTCCAGTGTAAACAACAGCAGTCACATCTTGTGGTGAAGAAGTTCTTTAAAATCAAATGACTGGCTGCCTGTTCAGCTGCAGCAGTGCAGCAGCAAATGTAACCCGTGATTCTGGGCCTACCCGACACTGGACTTTGCCCTCTGTGCATCTATGAAGCAGCTTTGAGTAATAATAGGTTTATTTCCTGTTAATAGACCTGCTCATTTGTACTTTTGCAGTCCATGTGGTGGGAAGCATCCGTGTGCTGCTCAGTAAGCAGTCTCATGGTTGTTCTTGTGTTGCCTGATGAGTCTGTTTGAATGTGTTATTAACTGGTTTACATTAGGGCTGCTCAATTAATCGAATTTTAATCACGATTACGATCTGGGCTTTCAACGATCATTAAAAATGACTGAGCCGATTATTAGCCCCTCCCTCATTTATCCGCGACACCTTAAAGGCCGGTCCGTGAAAATATTGTCGGGCATAAACCGGTCCGTGGCGCAAAAAAGGTTGGAGACCGCTGATTAAGAGGACCCGAGGGAAGCTCGGAAAGCTAAGCAGAAGTTATTTGGAGAGGAGAGTGACTGCTGTTGGTTGAAAAGAGTTAAAAAAAAAAAAAAAAAAAACTTCAGTGGTGTTGCACACCATTTTACATTATTTTTTTTAAAGTCATTGTTAACCCTTTAAAGCCGGTCAGAGCAGCACACTCCGTTTTGTGTAACTATTTTTAAATCCCTGTAGAATCTGAACCGTGTAAGCTAGCGCAATAATTTGTTTTGCATATGAAACCGGAGGAGTTGTACTTACATCTGATGCCATCAGCTTGTCCTCGGTCACGGTTTCGTTCCACATATAGTTTTGCAAAAATTGCATAAAAAGCGCTTGCAGGAACAAAAACATAATATTCCAGAAACACGCTTTGCCGTTCCTGTCAGCTGTTCGTAACACTTCCCACAGTGAAATGATGCACATGCTGTTTTCTTTGCAAATTTGCATCATAGGATTGTTTTTTGTTTTTCCTGCAGTATATAAAAATTGCTGTATCTCCAAAATAAAACTATGAAGACACTCAAAATAAATTTCCTGTGATGGGAAACTATTTTTTGCAACTTTATTGTATTTAAAGTTTTGAGGGATAAACCCTTAAACTTCTCCAAGTAGAAATATATGTAAACAAAACAAAAGCGATTTTCAATTTTTTTTGTAGTTTATTGCACTTTTTTGCAATTTATGTAATTACTATGCACTTAATGCATACATATTATTAAAATATGGGCTATAACAGTTGTATTGATGTATAGCAACTTGAAATGCTCCCACAAATGGCACTACAGCATGTACAAAAAATAAATAAAAATAATATAAGCTCTGGCGGACTTGGTTCTATAGTAGGTCTTAAAGGGTTAAATAAATATCGTCAAATAATCGTGATCTCAATTTCAGTGAAAATAATCGTGATTATCATTTTTGCCATAATCGAGCAGCCCTAGTTTACATTACTAACTAACACATGCTGCTGTCTTCTCTGTTAGCACACCACAAACACAGACACCCCATGTCCAGTATGTACTCCCTGCTGCTCCATTTGTATGAAGAATAAACTATTCCTTCTCCAGACTCTGATCAGAATTAAGTCCATATTGTTTCTGCCTCAACCAGCTTATATTTAATGCTAGAGTTTGAATCGACTGTGGAAGTTTTAGTGACAATTGTACTAAAACACATGAGGTTACTGGCAGTGACAAAATGTGTCTCCTTTCATCAGTCGGTGACTTTCTGATCAAATGTTTCTTTGTTGAACAGGCTGCTCGATAAGCTGAGGGCTCTGGTGACGATGAACGAGAACCTGAAGCAGCAGGAGCAGGAGTTCCGCACACACTGCAGAGTGAGCATCGATGCAATCACTGTCACTGTGTATCCTGCTGATGGTCACTAGCACCATTTCTTCCTCTTAATGCCTGAGCTCTGTATGCAGGAAGAGATGGCTCGTCTGCAGAGGAACATTCAGGAGCTAAAGTCTGCATCAGGACAGGATACAGAGGAAGAGAAGGTACATATCATACGCTGGCTGTCGTCTCTTACAGTATAAAGTCATTGTTGCTGTTCCTAGATTGTGAGTAGGTGAAAGTTAACTTGAGCTTTCCACTCAGATTTGATTTACAGCACTTTCTCTTTCCTTAGGAGAGGGACCAGCTGATTGACAAACAGTACAACACAGGGAGAGAGAAGCTACAGAAGATCCGCCTGCTCATGGTAACTACTTCTTAAACCACCCTAACAACTGTAAGTCGAACAGGTGGTCGGGTCTCCCGCGCCCCAATCCTGGGTTTCAGCACCGCTGTAAACGATGCGCGACAGACCCGACCACGTGTTTGCAATTTTTGTACACCTCTTTATTGCGGCTGTCGACTAACACACACAGCTGCAGCGGTTGCGCATGTTATTATCCTGCATGCTGCGAATTTCTTTGTTCTCCTGTAAAAGTGATTCCGATGTTAAACATTAGTTCCACGTGACTTTCCTGCCAGGTAACCTGCGCCCCACCTGTCAGAACTCTGCGCCCCCACACTTTGAGAACCAGTGATCTAAACTAACACAAACCTCCTGGTAAAGAGTAAATCAGTTTGCTAACCAGTTATTAAACCATGGACTCTTTTTAGTCTTTGGTACACTTCTATATTGTTCTTTCTTTGTGAGTTATGTTTGCTGATTTTTGGTTTGTGTTTTGTTGGTTTGGGAGAAGACTCAGTTTTGAGGGGATAACCGAGGCAGAAAAGCTGATTAAAATCTCTCACATTACAAAACTCGCTATTGCTCTCGCTCTCTTTCACCGCTGTCACTCCCAAATCTTTCCCCTCTTCTTAAGCAGCCAAATTCCATGTGTTGCCACATCATATTTTGATTGGTTGACAGTGGTGCATTTTTCTACCAGTAGGAAAGGGGTGTTGTCCCCCATGTCTGTGACACTATATATTGTAACCCTACAATAATAATGAGTATATCCCAACAATCAAATGACCCCCTTGAGCAAGCACTTGGGTAGTTACCTACACAAGTCCCTGAGTCAAACCCATCTCTTCGTGATACTCTGCAGTTGAGTAAAAAGGATGTTTTTTATGATGAAAAGTAAATTGGCCCCAGGACCGGGACGGGGAACTCCGAGAAGCTGTTTCTTTATCTCCTGTACCTCCACCAAGGACGTCATGTTTTTGGTAGTGTCTGCATGCGTCTGTGTAATCAGTCTGTTTGTAAACACGCTAGCTCAAAAAGGTTTGAATGAATTCTGATAAAACTTGGTAAGGCTTTCTAAGTAGCTGCTATTTTGCCCCTCTGGTGTTTCTGGGCCCCACTTATCTATTGCCCATTCATCTTAGCCGCTATAACACCTGACAGGAGCTTCCATGTTGTGCTGAAACCAGTCGTTTCTGGGGGGGATCCTTGGGGATCAGGACTGTCCTGCCTTCAGTTAGCCATTCTCAGTGTGTCTCATCTATTAGCAGCTTTGTTGGGGCTGTTCCTTGAGAATACACCTTGGATGGTTCACTGGAGAACATCTGGTTTATCTCCCTGGCTTCTATCTCTGTGGTCTCTTCGACGGCAAGCCAAGGCTGTGAGTCTTTGCTTGGCTGTTTCCAAGGCCTCGGGAATGGACAGCTTGCTGTACTTGTTTTCACACCTTTGTGCAGCTCCAATAGTTGACTGATTTCCATCTGTGCTGCCTTGATCTTGGCCTCTAATCTCTTTCTCCGTGGAGGGTACTGCTCCTTGTGGCTGTTCATCTTAGAGCCGATCGCCTCAGTTATCACTGCTGCCATGGTGTCAGGTTTGTTTCAGTGATCGTCACATCAAGGATTGTCCATAATCCTTCATTCACATCTTCTGGTAGACCTCCAGAGTGTATGTCACGTAGTCCTGGTATTTGGCTATGGATGGTCCAGGTTTCCAGCTTAGTTATGATCCTCTTTTTTTTAGGTCCGCTTCTCTTGCACTCAATGTCTTCAATGCACTAGTTGTTCTTAGTGCTTGGTACCTAATCTCAGAGGGTGGGGATGATGATATCTCCCCCCTCACCTGAGGTACTGGCTCCTACTTGCAGCAAGAATTGTGTTGGACCTCATCTCTAGTTGTGATTGCAGATGCTTATTCCAGATGTTGGAACCCTGACCAACAGGCAAAAACATGGCTGTGCCATGGGCTCCCCGGTGTCACCTATTGTAGCCAACCTTTCCATGGAGGAAGTAGAGAGAAAGACTCTTGGCTCTTTTAAAGGGAGAGTACCCAGCCACTGGTACAGATATGTAGACGACACCTGGGTCAAAATCAAAACCCACGAAGTAGAATCCCTCACTGCTCACATCAATGCTGTGGATAAAAACACCAAGTTCACCAGGGAAGGCACAAAGGATGACTGTTTGCTATTCCTGGACTGTGCTGTGCACATTGAGGAGAATGGAAACGTCAACACTGAAGTTTACCAGAAGCCCACACACATGGACCAGTACCACCTCTTTGACTGCCTGAAGGGACAAAGAAGGAACACACACATGTCAGGGAAGCGCTTAAAACATGTGATTATCTTAATTGGCCTTTTATCAAGTCAGCAAAGAGGCACAGAAAAGACGATCAGACACCAGCGAGGGAGGAAAAGAAAGACAAACGCAACAACATTGTCATCCCCTATGTAGCCGGTGTTCAGACCCAGCAACACACTCAGACACAAACTGGTTCACCCGAAAAACAAAACACCAAAACACAAACTTAACAATGTGGTGTATGCTGTACAGTGCAGCGAGGAATGCCCAGACCTCTACATTGGAGAGACCAAACAGCCACTTCACAAGCGCATGGCACAACACAGAAGAGCCACCTCCACAGGACAAGACTCAGCAGTCCATCTGCATCTAAAGGTCAAAGGTCACTCTTCGAGGATGCCAATGTTCACATTTTGGACAGAGAGGACAGATGGTTTGAAAGAGGAGTGAAAGAAGCATCTATGTCCACTGTGGGCGACCATCTTTGAACAGAGGCTTATGACACCAACTGTCTGCCATCTATAATCCAGTTTTGAGATCCCTTCCCAGACGCCTTAACGCCCACTCACATCCTGGGCCATCTGACCTCAGGAAATCACATGAATCACATGATAGGGTGGGGTCAGGTTTCCCAATGAGCTCACCTGAAACCCTGGCTGATTGTGAACCACACCCGCTTTCACACCTTGGCTCATGTGATTAGGTAGAGGATCATTAGGAGGTCCTTTTGTCCCTCTCGGGGGGGACACTTCCACAGAGCTTAAATCTGGGACTCTCCACCATTTGACCCTGGAACAGAAGAATCTTCTCGGATGAGAGGTGAAACGTCTTCAAGCAACTTAAAGAAGTCCAGACGCTTTTCGTTCCAAGCTCCTTAGAACCCTGACCTAGTAGTTGTTTACTTTTAGTCTAGATTTTGGGTGTCAGAAAATCCATAGGTGCTACATGCTCTTCATGTAACCCCTTCCACAAGAATTACTTGCATATTAATATACCACCAGCTCCCTATTCTCATCCCTTGTGCCTTCTTGCTCCATTAGCCCACTTCTCAATACTGGTTCCTCAATAACGGACACATACCTTGTTAATCCGGGCAACAGCTGAGTCTGTAAGGCTCCACTCATATATTTTTCGCGCAAACTTGAAGGTAGGCTGGGATGGCATGTGGGGCATTCTCCCAAACTTTTCCCACAAAGTTAGGAGAATGAAATTATCCAAAAAGTCTCCTTTCACTGGAGCTAAGGGTATGTGCTCAACTCCTGAAAAATAACCCCACGTCATAATCCCCCATTCCACCAAACTTTACACTTGGCAACCCCCAAACCTAGACAAGAGCTCCATGGAATGGGTTTCCATGACCAAGCAGCTGCATCCGAGGCTTTGTATTGCACTTGATGTAAGGCTTGGATGCAGCTGCTCGACTGTGGAAACCCATTCCACGAAGCTCTTGACTTTTACATGGCCTACCACTTCCTGGCTGCGTTGCTGTCCTTCCCAGTGGCTTCATATTTGTTATAAACCAACAATAGTTGACCGTGGAATATTTATTAGTAAGGAAACATCACGACTGGACTTGTTGCACAGGTGGCATCCTATCATAGTACTACGCTGGAATTCACAAATGTTTTTAGAAGCAGGGGAGACTTCAAGTTACAGATGGACAAACTGGCGATCACTAACCAACCGCATTTAGTGGTGGACAAAAAGTCTTGTTTAGTGATCGATGTAGCAAGCCCAAGTGATAACTACATCAGGAACGTATTCACTCATTCATATATGTATATATCGCTTCACTCTTCACAGGCTCGCAGGAACCGAGAGATTGCCATCTTGCAGAGGAAGATTGATGAGGTGCCAAGCCGAGCTGAGCTGACACAGTATCAGAAGAGGTTCATTGAACTCTACAGTCAAGGTAATTTCCTCCTGTTCATCTGCTTTGACCAGTGTTGTTGCTGTGTGCAGGTCACAAATGAACCCCATAAAAATCAGGAGTTATAAAGAAATGCTTGTTCTTTTTGTGCCTTTCAGTTTCTGCTACTCACAAAGAGACTAAGCAATTCTTCACTCTGTATAATACACTGGATGATAAGAAAGTCTATCTTGAGAAGGAGGTAAGTAACCACAGCAGACCCCTGTCAGCAGGGTGCGCAATGATTGCCAGTAAAATTTCTGATAGCATTTGGCTTTTGTTTCACTTGAGACATGTGACTGATTAAACACCTTGGTAAGTGTCACAAATAGACTTGTACTTAATGCTATTCATAACAAAATTTTAATTTCTGTAGGTGAACCTCTTGAATTCTATTCATGACAACTTCCAACAGTAAGTATAATTCTGCTCATTTGTCACGTCTAACACTGATGTTGTTCCAGTGAATAGTTTTCTATCAGTACGTTTCATTGCAGTGAAACAGTGCTAACGTCCTCTACTCTTGTTCAGAGCCATGTCGTCTTCAGCTGCCAAAGAGCAGTTCCTCAAACAGATGGAGCAGATAGTCGAGGGAATCAAACAGAATCGCATCAAGGTACAAGTCTTTCTGTAAAAGGGGAATTCTGCTGCTCTTCTCTTTATAAACGTGCGTTATAGGGATGGAACCAAATTACAGATTTAGTGGTCAGTATCAGGAACACACAAAAATGTTTTTGATAATGCTGACTACAGATAAGATAATGAGTTCAGGGTATATGGACCCGCATGTCACAGCCTAATGATGCAAAGTTTGTCCTGTTTCGAGACAGACTCCCGCAGTACTGGTACGGCATGTGTTTCTCTGCTTTTTCAGATGGAGAAAAAGAAGCAGGAGAACAAGATGAGGCGAGATCAGCTGAATGATGAGTACCTGGAGCTCCTTGACAAGCAGAGGCTGTATTTCAAAACTGTCAAGGACTTTAAAGAGGTAAGAAAAGCATGTGCTTAAGTGCTGCTGGCTGTTTCTGAGAGGGCATTTACAGTTAGAGCATACCATTACAATGAAAGATGAATGCTATTCAGTAAGGTATAGTGAGCTATTATTCTTAGGGATAAAGATGGGTTTCACAAAACATAACACCTAATCGTGTTGGAAGATACAAACTGTAGCCTTCAGAATGGCTGTGAAGCAAAAAAATCAAAAGTGTCACAACCAACGACTGCCGTGTTAGACAGCGTTAGTGATAAATGGATGTGCCTACAAAAGTGAACAGTTAGTGTTTGTTGACAAATGTTCCATAGTTTGGTGTTTTATTGAAAAATGACCTCAGAATGATGTGAGGTCATTCGCAGTCATGCCCGAGTTTCTCCCAATCTCAGTTTGGAAAGCTACATTCAACAGAAAGTTATTCACTCAGTCATCTTCTCTCAAATTAACCCACTCATTATTTTATCGATTGTCCTGATTTAAGACATAGAAGCATTTAAAATAAGTCCCTGAACATCCTCTCTCCTGACCACCTCTAGATCTTTCAGCTTACAGGGTTGAAATACAAAACAAAAATTCTTAGCAGATTTCTATCTGAATGTGCTGTAACGATACAACATTTAAATATAAGAAAGAAATTTAAATTACTATCATTTTCTTCAATGCCATGTGCTAACACAATGCAGAGAAGCTGCCGAAACTTTACTATAAAACAGGTCAATAATTCAATTTAATTTTTATAGAATATATTGTCACATCTGAACAAGTCGCCTCAAAGCGCTTTATATTGTAAGGTAAAGACAACATTACTGTTACTAATTGAAGAAAACAGGTTCAGCGTTATAGCTCTAAGTGCTGTGAATTTCCATTCATCCATCTTCTTCTGCTGCCTGGTCGTGGGCGCAGCAGACCTCCCCCTCCTCAGCCTCCTCCTCCAGCTCGGCCAGCCGAGAGAGATAATCCAGCGTCTAAAATCCTTACCCTGTCTCTAAGGGAGAGGCCAGCCAACTTTCAGAGAAAGCTCATTTACACCACTTCATCCATGATCTTGTTCTTTCAGGGTGAGGGTGGGGACGTAGATTGACCGGTAAATCGAAAGTTTGGCTTTTTCGCTCAGTTTTCTCTTCACCGTGACTGACGGGTTACCGCTTATTGACCTGTCTGTTGATCTCCCACTCCCCCCTCCCCTCACTTGTGAATAAGACCCCTAGATACTTCCCATTCCCGTCCCTGACCCAGAATGGGCACTCCACCCTTTTCAGAGTGAGGACCTGAGGTCCATCTTGTTCTTTCCATTCAGCTGAGTCCTGTGGACTTGCTTTTTACTGTGTGCAGGTATTTGGTGGTTGGAGCCTCTTTGTGGCTCCCATTTGCCCGTGGGATTACCAAGTACTTGTCTGCAATCCCCTCAGTTCTGACTACTAAGTAGTAGTTACCATCCAACTACACTTCTCCAGCCTGAAAGACATTCCAGTGCCGTTGGTGTAGATCAGTAAATCGATGTCTTGTCCTGGCATACAGCTTGATGTCATCCATGTAGAGGAGGTGGTTGGCATTGGTCCATTCCAGTCCAGGGGTTCAGGACTATGCAGAACAGCAGTGGGAACAGAGCATTTCCTTGGTAAATCCTGCTCTTGATAGTGACTCATCCTATTGGCTTGAAGCTGGCCTGTAGTGATGTTCGCCACATCCCCATGGAGTTCCTAACGGAGGCTCTTAGGGTCCTGTTGATCTTTTGTAGTTCTAGGCATTCATGGATCCATGTGTGCGGCACTGAGTCATAGGCTTAGCCCACAGGTAGGTCTGGTCTTGCAGTGTTGAGTGACTCTTCTGTCATCCAGTTGGTGGTGCTTCGCCCCTCCGGTGGTGCTCCTGCTAATTCCTTTCTGTGGCTCCACTCATGTATCGAGCCATAAGCCTGTTCACCTTAGCCACTATGATGCCTGACGGGAGCCTCAATGTGGTAGTGAGAAAACATATTTGGTAGTTGGATGGGACCAGTCTCCTCTGGGGATCCATGGGACTCGGGAATGTCCGGCCTTCAGTTAGCTGTTCTTTGTGTGTCGCATCCATTAGCAGCTGGTTCATTTGTGGTGCGAGACAGTAGGCATGAATCATGACAGGGTATACCTCAGATGGTTTAGTAGAGCACAGCTGGTTTATTCTCCTGCCTTCTGTCTCTCTGGTAACAAGCTATACCTCTTCAACTCAGGCTGTGAGTCTGTCCTTGGCAGTCCTGCCATGGAGTAGATCAGCTGATTAGTCAGCTGTTTGGTGGGCTTCTGCACTTAAACCAGCGCCATCCTCAGCCTTCTCTTTAGCTTAAACCAGGAAAGAATGAAAAAAGCAGTCTGATAATTCAAGAAAACAGAAAAAATATTCACTGCAAATTATGGAAATCGATCACAAGACAATGTGAAACAAATGTGCACACCACCATTTAGAAAACAGTGTGTCATAATATATTAAAACAAATTAACCAAATAAATTACATGACTTGTGTGCTGTATAGTTTGCAGTCAATAAAGCAACACTTTTGTTTCAGCAAACACAGTTAAATATGAAAAAGTGGGAGTGTAAATCTTACCCATGTTCTATTCAAACATGCAAATATAACTGAAATAACAAGAGAAAAGAAGAAAAAACTTCAAGTTTTCATGTGTCTCTATAGCTACAATGTGCATGCTGAAAAAGGAGTAGAATGAAGTTTTAATATGAATGTTAAATATAGATAATGTCATCAGATTACTTGTTTATGCCTCCCAGTGTTTGAATTGGGTGTCTGCGGTTGTAGCTTTCCAAACACAGAGTTGAAGAGTGCCATCTAGTGGACAAACTGTGCAGTGCCATCAAATAACATTGTTAAAAGGTGTTTCTCCCAGGTCTCGTTTTTGTGTGTGTTGTTGGTGGTGGTGGTTTTTTTATGTGTATATATATCTTTGTTTTTTCCTGTGTATTTCCCATAATAACTGTCGATACCTATAGATCATAGCTAACATCAGCCAATATCAACCCACTCTAATAAAAAAAATGCTTTAATCAACAAGATTTGCAGATTTGATTTGAGCTGTCTTTTTGATTAAAGAGTCGCCTCAGAATTAAAAATGCTTTGCAGTAAATCACAGGTCACGATTGAGTGGATTGAGATTAGGCTTTATACTGAAAAATGATCATTGCATCCTAGTTTCTACTATAGGTCTGCCTTAAATAAAGGCTTGTTACTTTCTGCTGTTGAGGTCCATAATCTGTATTTCAGGAAATGTGCTATAATAATTTTCAACAATGACCCTCTGAGTGTAATGATCATGTAACAATAATAACTTTTTTCCCCACTAGGAGTGTCGGAAGAATGAGATGCTGCTGTCTAAACTGAGAGCTAAAGGAGCCTCTTAGCTCCGACCCTTCTGTTGGTGTGTCTCATTCTAAGTAATAAATATGATGCAAACCAGTTACTAATCGAATTACTTGGATGACTTTCATATAAAATCCTGGACATGAACTGTGTTCTTCACATGTGCCAGATGCAGCAGACTGGACGACGTAAATGCAAATCATTGTTTTAATCACACCTTCTGTAACATCATAGTGTCACTAATTAAGACCACGATCAGCCAGTTCTACCTAATGTTTTACATTTCATGGTGAACATAACAATAAAAAACTTAACCAGAGCTCCACAACAGTCTTGCAAGTCATGACATTGTGTTTAATAATACTGGGCAACTTTTACTAACTCCCCGCACTGCACTGACTGTGAACTATACGTACGTCTTTATGATGATCATGAGTTCAGGCTGCAACAGTGAAGAGAATCCCATAACCTGTAATAATGATGGTTTTGTGTTGGAGAGTTTCCTGGTGTATTTACATGCCTCTGAAGATTGTCTTCCATGTACCATCCAATCACCATGGATGCAGTATTTAATGAATAAAGAATTGCTTATACAAACAGCAAACTCTGTGGTCTGTCTCATCTCAGATAGGATAACTAGTGCTGGGTATCGTTACTGATTTCTATAACTGATTCAATTCCAATTCACAAGGTCCTGATTCGATTCAATTCGATTCAGTTTTGCCTCAGACAGTCAGAAATGTAATTCTGATCATTTATCAGTACTGACACTTGTGAGACTTCATTAGAGGTGTAAGCGTCGCAGCCTTTGTGTCAAAGTAACTGATGATAAAACAGAAAAACATTAAGGAGATTTTCCTGGTCTGGCTTTTTATAGCAGATAACCTTAATCTCCTGAGACCCGAACTCTTCCACAGCATGCATTTTTAATTTCTCTTTGATATCTGGGCTGATTGGGACCTGATGAGTGTAAAAACAAAGAATTAGCAGATTATTTTTTTTTACCTATTTTTTGTTTCTAAGAAAAATGAGAGCCACATATGAGGATATTCGTTTAAAATTTCATTAGAACTGTAGCATTATAATGTCTTCGTAAGTGGATATCATGGCGGGGATAGCTCAGTAGGTAAAGTGGTCGCCCCATGATCGGAAGGTCGGCGGTTCGAATCCACTTAACGGCTACCCTGAGGTACCCCTGAGCAAGGTACTGTCCCTACACACTGCTCCCCGGGCGCCTGCTTAGTGGGCTGCCCACTGCTTCACTGAGTGAATGGGTCAAATGCAGAGAAAAACAAGTAATTTCCCCATGGGGATCAATAAAGTATCCATTATTATTATTATTATCAGGCCCTTGTAGAGCAAAATTAAGTATTTTGGTCTAAATAACCCAAAATGTGATGTCCACATACAGTGGGGCAAAAAAGTATTTAGTCAGCCACCGATTGTGCAAGTTCCCCCACTTAAAATGATGACAGAGGTCAGTAATTTGCACCAGAGGTACACTTCAACTGTGAGAGACAGAATGTAAAAAAAAAATCCATGAATCCACATGGTAGGATTTGTAAAGAATTTATTGGTAAATCAGGGTGGAAAATAAGTATTTGGTCACCTCAAACAAGGAAAATCTCTGGCTCTCACAGACCTGTAACGTCTTCTGTAAGAAGCTTTTCTGTCCCCCACTCGTTACCTGTATGAATGGCACCTGTTTGAACTCATCATCTGTATAAAAGACACCTGTCCACAGCCTCAAACAGTCAGACTCCAAACTCCGCCATGGCCAAGACCAAAGAGCTTTCGAAGGACACCAGGAAAAGTATTGTAGACCTGCACCAGACTGGGAAGAGTGAATCTACAATAGGCAAGCAGCTTGGTGTGAAAAAATCAACTGTGGGAGCAATCATCAGAAAATGGAAGACATACAAGACCACTGATAATCTCCCTCGATCTGGGGCTCCACGCAAGATCTCATCCCGTGGGGTCAAAATGATCATGAGAACGGTGAGCAAAGATCCCAGAACCACACGGGGGGACCTGGTGAATGACCTGCAGAGAGCTGGGACCAAAGTAACAAAGGTCACCATCAGTAACACACTACAACGGCAGGGAATCAAATCCCGCAGTGCCAGACGTGTTCCGCTGCTGAAGCCAGTGCATGTCCAGGCCCGTCTGAAGTTTGCCAGAGAGCACATGGATGATACAGCAGAGGATTGGGAGAATGTCATGTGGTCAGATGAAACCAAAGTAGAACTTTTTGGTATAAACTCAACTCGTCGTGTTTGGAGGAAGAAGAATACTGAGTTGCATCCCAAGAACACCATACCTACTGTGAAGCATGGGGGTGGAACATCATGCTATGGGGCTGTTTTTCTGCCAAGGGGACAGGACGACTGATCCGTGTTAAGGACAGAATGAATGGGGCCATGTATCGTGAGATTTTGAGCCAAAACCTCCTTCCATCAGTGAGAACTTTGAAGATGAAACGAGGCTGGGTCTTCCAACATGACAATGATCCAAAACACACCGCCCGGGCAACAAAGGAGTGGCTCCGTAAGAAGCATTTGAAAGTCCTGGAGTGGCCTAGCCAGTCTCCAGACCTCAACCCCATAGAAAATCTGTGGCGGGAGTTGAAAGTCCGTGTTGCTCGGCGACAGCCCCAAAACATCACTGCTCTCGAGAAGATCTGCATGGAGGAATGGGCCAAAATACCAGCTACTGTGTGTGCAAACCTGGTAAAGACCTATAGTAAACGTTTGACCTCTGTTATTGCCAACAAAGGTTATGTTACAAAGTATTGAGTTGTATTTTTGTTATTGACCAAATACTTATTTTCCACCCTGATTTACCAATAAATTCTTTACAAATCCTACCATGTGGATTCATGGATTATTTTTTTCACATTCTGTCTCTCACAGTTGAAGTGTACCTCTGGTGCAAATTACTGACCTCTGTCATCATTTTAGGTGGGGGAACTTGCACAATCGGTGGCTGACTAAATACTTTTTTGCCCCACTGTATGTGGACGCCAGGTCCTAGGAGGTTAAAAATATTCTGCAGTAGAACAAAAACTGAAGAAAACCATGAATCAACATCTGAACATTACCTGATGCTGCTGAAGCAGAGCAAAGTTACAGAGGTTTTTACGTAAGCTGGAGAGGAAATGGCGTGTCACAAATTTAGAGGATCATCATTTAGCCTGGAGAAATAGTTTGCTGCTTTATAAGAAAGCCCTCCGCAAAGCCAGAACATCTTACTACTCATCACTGATTGAAGAAAATAAGAACAACCCCAGGTTTCTCTTCAGCTCTGTAGCCAGGCTGACAAACAGTCAGAGCTCTGTTGAGCCAACCATCCCTTTAATGTTAACTAGTAATGACTTCATGAACTTCTTCACAAATAAAATTTTAATCATTAGAGAAAAAATGACCAGTAATCATCCCACAGATGTAATATTATCTACAGCTACTTTCAGTACCATTCATGTTAAGTTACTCTTTTTCTCCAACTGATTTTTCTGAGTTAACTTCAATAATTACTTCCTCCAAACCATCAACGTGTCTTTTAGACCCCATTCCTACAAAACTGCTCAAAGAAGTCCTGCCATTAATTAATGTTTCGATCTCTAATGATCGGCTATGTACCACAGGCCTTCAAGCTGGCTGTAGTTAAACCTTTACTCAAAAAGCATCTCTAGACCCAGCAGTCTTAGCTAATTATAGGCCAATCTCCAACCTTCCTTTCATATCAAACATCCTTGAAAGAGCAGTTGTCAAACAGCTAACAGATCATCTGCAGAGGAATGGCTTATTTGAAGAGTTTCAGTCAGGTTTCAGGGCAGCACGGTGGCACGGTGGTTAGCACTGTTGCCTCACAGCAAGAAGGTCCTGAGTTCAATTCCACCATCAGGCCGGGATCTTTCTGTGTGGAGTTTGCATGTTCTCCCTGTGTTTGCGTGGGTTCTCTCCGGGTACTCTGGCTTCCTCCCACCGTCCAAAGACATGCAGCTTGTGGGGATAGGTTAATTGGATAATACAAATTGCCACTAGGTGTGAATGTGCGAGTGAATGTGAGTGTGAATGGTTGTCTGTCCTTGTGTGTTGGCCCTGCGACAGACTGGCGACCTGTCCAGGGTGTACCCTGCCTCTCGCCCTATGACAGCTGGGATAGGCTCCAGCGCCCCCCGCAACCCTGAAAAGGATACGCGGAAGCGAATGGATGGATGGACAGTCAGGTTTCAGAGCTCATCACAGCACAGAAACAGCTTTAGTGAAGGTTACAAATCGTTAGCTTCATAGCATAATTGCCTAAGTCAATGACTTAGGCACTTATGCTATGAAGCTAACGAAATGATCTTCTTATGGCCTCTGACAGTGGACTCATCTCTGTGCTTGTCCTGCTAGACCTCACTGCAGCGTTCGATACTGTCGACCATAATATCCTATTAGAGCGATTAGAACATGCTGCAGGTATTACAGGTACTGCGCTGCAGTGGTTTGTATCATATCTATCTAATAGACTCCAGTTTGTGCATGTAAATGGAGAGTCCTCTTCACACACTGAGGTTAATTATGGAGTTCCACAGGGTTCAGTGCTAGGACCAATTCTGTTTACATTATACATGCTTCCCTTAGGCAGCATCATTAGAAGACATAGCATACATTTACACTGCTATGCAGATGACACCCAGCTCTATCTGTCCATGAAGCCAGATAACACACACCAATGAGTTAAACTGCAGGAATGTCTTAAAGACATAAAGACCTGGATGGCCGCTAACTTTCTGCTTCTTAATTCAGATCAAACTTAGAAATATGGTATCTAACCAGATTCTTACTCTGGATGGCATTACCTTGGCCTCCAGTAACACTGTGAGGAACCTTGGAGTCATTTTTGACCAGGACATGTCCTTCAACGCACATATTAAACAAATATGTAAGACTGCGTTCTTCCATTTGTGCAACATCTCTAAAATTAGAAATATCCTGTCTCAGAGTGACGCTGAAAAACTAGTTCATGCATTTATTACTTCCAGGCTGGACGACTGTAATTCATTATTATCAGGAAGTCCTAAAAACTCCCTGAAAAGCCTTCAGCTAATCCAAAATGTTGCAGCAAGAGTCCTGACAGGGACTAGAAAGAGAGAGCAGATTTCTCTAAATCCAGAATTCAAAATCCTGCTCCTCACATACAAGGTCTTAAATAATCAGGCCCCATCTTATCTCAATGACCTTGTAGTACCATATCACCCTATTAGAGCACTTCGCTCTCGCTCTGCAGGCCTACTTGTTGTTCCTAGAGTATTTAAAAGTAGAATGGGAGGCAGAGCCTTCAGTTTTCAGGCCCCTCTTCTGTGGAACCAGCTTCCAGTTTGGATTCAGGAGACAGACACTATCTCTACTTTCAAGATTAGGCTTCAAACTTTCCTTTTTGCTAAAGCATATAGTTAGGGCTGGACCAGGTGACCCTGAATCCTCCCTTAGTTATGCTGCAATAGACGTAGGCTGCCGGGGATTCCCATGATGCATTGAGTTTTTCCTTTCCAGTCACCTTTCTCACTCACTATGTGTTAACAGACCTCTCTGCATTGAATCATATCTGTTATTAACC